CCTTGCTCAAGGGCACTTCGGTCACGTGCTGTCAGCTGAGGGGATCGAACCGGCGACCTTCACGGTCACAAAGCTGGATTTTCGCATCGCTCAGTGTGTCGCGTTGCTGATGCTGTAGTCGGTCATGCTAAGCTAAGTTCGTATTGACATACATGCAGCGAGCTGAACACCAGCGGTATAAATGCGTTTGAACGTGTTCTTCTAACTGTAGCAGTGAGACGGTGAACCGAGACTGAGCTGTATTTGAGAGATCTGTCGACTTTCAAGGAGTTCATGTGAGTTTTCTGGCGCGTGTGGTCGCAGCCTGTGCTCGCGCTGCAGAAGTTGATCCTTTCAGCGCTGCGTGAGGCGGTTTTCTTCATTTTCACTGTAGAAACTGAAAATACTGTAAATAAGAGCAGTTATTTGTGAATTACTTCGGTTAAAGTTTGTGTTGATGTTTACAGAGGCTTTGAAACTCGAATCTAACAGTGATTTATGACCTTACATTAAATTCACAAACTGTCATCACCACTGAGCAGCTTTTCAGTCGGCAGCTGTGACAGAAGAACCTTTACAGACTGGAATCCAAACCTGGAATCAGCCAGAAATGAACCCAGTACCATTCGCCAAACGTGTAGTCTGATCTTCAGAGCCTGAACAAATCGGACTGAGCCATAAAACTGCTGCAATATCAAGTTTAGCTCAGTTTTGTCAATTTTTGCCAGATCAGTATTGATGTTGTTTTGTTCCAGCCAGTCTGTAAAGCATCTTACAGCCCGTTTTGTTTGGCAAATGGTATTGGGTTCATTTCATGTTTAGCTGTTCTTCTGTCTCAGCTGCCGACTGAAAAGCTGCTCAGTGGTGATGACAGTTTGGGAATTTAGTGTCTTCTCATCTTCAGAGTCTGACCAAATCGGCTGTCGGTCAAATGTGACCTTAAAAGTGTCCATTTTCTGTTTGTGGCAAAGTAAGAAGAAAAAACGTTCAAATGTCTTGAGCGTCTCCTACAGCTGTCAAAGTCGTTGCTTAGCAACAGTATCTCAGCGGAGTGATGCAGTGTAAAAAACTGTGATGTTATGGTGAAATAACAGCACAGTTAGAACGCTTCTCAACCAATCAGCTTGCGTGGCTGGAACTAACTGTTGTATAATAATAGTATAGTATATTTAGACCTGTTATAGTGATAACAAATTATGTTTCTAATGCTCTTTTGACTTTTTGATACCAACAACTCACTAAAAGATACTTAAAATATTAAAAGTTAGAATAATCATATTTTTATGAAAGCAACACACACATCTCTGCTACAAACGAACTCCTAAACTTTGTTTCTAGCTCCTACCGTTCAGTACAATTAAAAATGATGGGAAGCGCAAGGTTACAGTTAACCCCATGGGTGGGTTCACTGTAACAGACAGAGGGTCATGAAAAGTCTGAAGAATCAGTGCAAAGTTAATTCAGTATAATTCTGTGTTGTATGAAACAGATATATTTTCAATAAAGTTTGAACAAACTGCATTATATATTATCATCTATAAGACTTTTAAATGAGCTGAATGGAGATTAATCACATACAAGTGGACCTTAAGCGCTTATCTTCACTGAACTCATTTAAAGTTTTTGATGTGATCAATTAAAGAAACGTGTTTTAGTTTAATGCTGGTTTATTTCCAGCGTTGCTGCAGCAGAGAAGATGCCTGACTGTGCAAACTCTCTCGAACGTGCTGAGATGTTATTATAAACACAATCTGGATGTTTGGTGTAATTTTGTTGCATTCATAAAAAATCAGAAAATGAAAAAGTGAACTGAGGAGAAAAGTTTGCTAAACTGCCTTAGGAATCAAAATAACTTGGTGAAAAATACTGGCCTGTGATTTGGATCTAATAATGAGATTCATGACATGTTTGTCCACCGTACAGTTCTGTGATTATGCATTTTGGCCCTTAGTTACTGAATAATATGCAGCAGATTCCAAACGATTTATATGAGACATTGAATAATTCATAGTAGATAATGATCGATTTAAATTGATTGTTGAAGGTTTATAGCAATTACTGAAAAATTAGAGTAGACGCTGAATAATTTATAGTAGACACTGAATAATTTATAGTAGACACAGAATGATTTATAGTAAGCAGTCATTCATAACAAGCATTAGCTGATAAAGAAGCAGGATTACATTCAGTGCAGCTGGGAGGCATTTTGTGGATAATTAATGTAACAGAGTGTTTTTGTGATCATAACCCAGCCAAAAGTTCTGAACGCAGACATTTTGGGCCCCTTAATCAAAGACACAAACAATAAGTCCAGTCCAGCAAGACCTGATGTAACAGTGCAGAATCCTCCCAGAGTCAAGTTCATTATAATAGTAACAACAGATGTGTAAATAGGTGTATTTGCATTATGTATTATATATGTGGTGGAGAATTCACACCCAGCACTGCCTCACTGTGCTCACTACAGTGCTGTGAGCATTTTTCACACTGACTTCAACAACTACTCATCAGGTGAACAGTACAGAACAGTCACAGTGACCCAATAACGTCAAAACTTAAGTCATTTTACAGTTAAGTTTATTGATACAGATGTTTCAGACTCTTCATTTCATTTAATCAAATATCTGATTCAGTGATGCGTTCACAAGTGAACTTTATCATCTTCTCCATCAGTGAGACTCAGAGATTCAGTCAGAGCGAGTTTAGTGGGATTACTGCAACATGCAGGAGTGCAAAACCACAACAGCGGCAAAGTGAAACACAGGACTGAATTTCCCAAACTGCGTATAAAGATGATGTAAACTTCACTGAAACTGTAGTTGAAATGACTCCCCTTTGAGCACAGAGGCATCTTTGGTTAAGGTGTTTGTGTTCAGCTGATGGTGAGGCTCACAGACCAATCCAAACCAGACGTTCTTTTTTATTTGCTTTTAGCTTTGGAAATGAGTCGAATCAGGAATTGGCGTATGGAGTGTCTCCTTTTAGAACCGTATCTGGAGACAGTAAACGCTGGCGTGCTGAGAACTGAAAGCTTGGCCAAGATAACTGTGTTCCACATAGTAAGCATCACAGAAAAGCACAGATAAACAGCAAAGTCAAGCTTATTTTACACTCTGCTCGTCTAGATTTAATGTAATAAACCTTTAATTTAGTGAATTTAGCATCTTTGGTACCAGCTAACTAACTCTTCACAAAGTCACTGATTGTTCTGTGGTTCCTTCAGTGGTTCTGAGGTTCCGTTGGTGTTTCTGTTGTTTGGAACAGACAATCAAGGCACTAATGAACACTGTCCAGCCACTATGCTAGGAACACCATGCTGATACTGGGTTGGACTCCTTTTGCACTCAGAACAGCCTGAATTATATGTGGCAGGGATTCAAGAAGGAGCTGGAATCTCCTGTTCTACCACATCCTAAAGGTGCTCTATTGGATTCAGATCTGTGGAGACCACTGAAGTTCCCTGAACTCGTTGTCATGTTCAGTTTGAAATGACTCAGGCTTTGTGATAATCTGTGTTATCATGCTGGATCCATCAGATTCTGTAAGACTAGAACTTTCTCTGGAGTCTCCTCCATGTTTCCAAACTTGCAGTGTTGTGGTTATAGTTAAAGCTGGGAGATTATGGTGTTTCATCCTCCTTTATATCATCTGTGAATTTAGCAAACAGGAAATTGAGTCTGTATATCTCCACCATAGTCATCATCACCCTCATCATCATCTTCTTAAACTGCTTAATCCAGATAGGGTCACGGTATGAGTTGGGAGAGGTTAGCAGTTCCCAGGCGACGCTGCCCCCCACAACTTCCTCCAGCTCATCCCGGGGCACTCTAAACTGCTCCCAGGCCAATTTGGAGATATAATCCCTCCAGTGGGTCCTAGAACGACATTGGGGCCCTGTCTCCACCGGGAGGCGGCTAGGGGGCATCCTGAAACTTGAACATGACCCGTCAACACCACAAATAAAGTATTTACTTAAGAATTTTCAGATGAATTAATGAAGAATTTTACTGGATTATGGAAAAACTTGGTTATTCACTTTCCATACATTTTGAGATTAAAATCAGACACTCAGCAAACCAGCATAACTAGCATGAAGTGTGTAATATATTATAGAATTGTTAAATTATATTAACATATTTTCCCACGGATGAATGACTTATTTATACATATTTACATATTTGTTTTGATATATTAGAAAAAGCAGATTGGGATGCTGTAATTCAGCTGGTAAATATCCGCCTCCTGCTGGCCAAAACCTGCAAGTACAACAAACCACCGTCATGATAAAGCGGGAGTGGCCTCATGACGTCACGCAGGAGAGACGAAGGTAATGCAGAGCTGTTTCATAAACAGAATTCAGTTCGTTGCAACTGGACACGATCTTCAGTTTGAAGGTTCTCCATTCAGGAAACTCAGTTAAAGATAAACTGAAGAAGCAGAAAAGCAGACCAAAGGAGAGAAAGTGAAAGTGGTAATGAGTCTAAGTTTCTTACTGTCTGTTACTGAAAATACATCCAGATGTTCAGATCATTTCTGTCCATCACTGTTGTTCGTGTTTTCTCTGTTATTTTATTACATTTTAAATGCTCTAATTCTGTTAATTGTATTTAACATTTGAAGCTGTGATCATTTGTTCAGCTACAGATTCATGATTAACAGGTAGAATGTGAATCTGATCAGTCAGACTAATGTGACTGATTTAAGATCATTACACTTCCTAAGACCCTTATTGTTTACATTAATAGAAACATAAAAAAAAAACACAACACTTTATACGCATTGACTAAGAAAGATGTTGGAAGTTTTCTTTGGTCTCAAATCTCCCTCATGGTGTCTCTGTGTCTCCTCTGTCAGTCATGTCTTCCTCCAGCAGTCTCCTGTCTGAAGATCAGCTCCAGTGCTCTATCTGTCTGGATGTGTTCACTGATCCAGTCTTGACTCCATGTGGACACAACTTCTGCATGGTCTGTCTCAAAGAGTGATGGGACAGCAGTTCACGCTGCCAGTGTCCAGTTTGTAAGACAGAATTCCCAACAAGACTTGAACTGTCTGTGAACACGTTCATCTCTGGACTGGCTGCTCAGTTCAAGAAGTCAGTTCAGGTCAAATCCAGCAGAGCTCCAGAGAAACCTGACAAATCTCAGGTTCTCTGCGATGCCTGCTGTGAAAAAAGTGCAGCTCTGAAGTCCTGCCTGATCTGTATGGCCTCTTACTGCAAGACTCATCTGGAACCTCATGAGAGAATCGCTTCATTCAGGAAACACAAACTGATGGACGCTGTGGAGAACCTGGAGGACTACATCTGCCAGAATCATGAGAGACCCCTGGAGCTGTTCTGTAGAGACGACCAGACGTGTGTGTGTCAGCTCTGCACTGAGACAGACCACAAGACTCACAGCACTGTTCCTATAGAGGAGGAGAGTGGAGAGAGGAAGGTGACGGACACTCAAAGAAATTTTAACTCTTCTCTGTTGTTTTTGCATAAGGAAAGTTATTCTAATTAATGCATGGAATTGTTGTAATTTGTCTTTTTTATAGACTCAGCTGGGAAAGACACAGGCAGAAGTTCAGCAGATGATCCAGGACCGACTGAAGAAGACTAAGGAAATGAAAGAGTCTGTAGAGCTCAGCAAGGTGAGTCTCAACTGAATTTCAACATGTCTTTCTCTATGAAAAAAAATCAGGTCAGGTTTTATATCAGCTCACATTACAGAAACAATTCCAACAAAAGTTGTCAGTGACGAATGACAGAATAGTTAGGAAAATACAGTATCAGTGCTCGTCTTCTTGAACATGCTGTATTTGACATCCTAAATCAGTACAGACTGGACTGTCTGGAAATGTTCTGAAGTGATATTACTTGTACATACAACCCCATTTCCAAAAAAGACGGGCCGCTGTGCAGAATATAAATAAAAATAGAATGCAATGATATGTAAATCTCATAGACTCGTATTTTATTCACAATAGAACATAGAACACATATCAGATACTGAAAGTGAGACATTTTACCATTTCATGAAAAATATTAACTCATTTAGAACTTGATGGCAGCAACGCATCTGAATAAAGTTGGGACAGGGCCGTGTCTACCATTGTGTAGCATCCCCTCTTCTTTTAACAACAGCCTGTAAACATCTGGGAAGTGAGGAGACCAATTGCTGCAGTTTTGGGAGAGAAATTTTGACCCATTCTTGTCTGATGTAGGATTCTGTCTGCTCAACAGTCCTTTACTGTACTTTGCCAGATTTTTTGTTTCATGATGCTCCACATGTTTCCTATTGGTGAAAGGTCTGGACTACAGGCAGGTCTGTTCAGCACCTGGACTCTTCTTCTGCAAAGCCATGCTGTTGTGGTGGATGCTGGTGTAGTTTAGCATTGTCTTGCTGAAATATGCAAGGCCTTCTTTGAAAAAGACACTGTCTGGATGGCAGCACATGTTGCCAAAACCTGTATATTTCGTTCAGCATTAATGGTGCCTTCACAGATGTGCAGGTTACACATGCCATGTGCACTGATGCTCCACCATACCATCATGGATGCTGGCTTTTGAACTGTGTGCTAATAATAAGCTGGGAGGTTTTTAGCGTGGAGGATGCAGTGTCTATGATTTCCAAAAAGAATTTCAAATTTTTATTCATTAGACCACAGGACACTTTTCCACTTTGCCTCCATGTCAAATGTGCTTGGGCCCAGAGAAGTTGCCAGCGTTTCTGGATACTGTTCATATATGATTTCTTCTTTGCATGATACAGCTTTAACTTGCGTTTATGGATTGCACGGTCCATCCAGTATTGACCATCAGCCTTGTCCCTTGTGTACAAGGATTTTTCCAGATCCTCTAAATCTTTTTGTAACGCGACACAACGACGCAGACGCTTGCAGATAAAAGGTGAATGAGAGGCTTTACTAGTGAAGACAGAATCCACAAACGTAGTCAGGTCACAGGCAATAGTCAGATCCAGAAAAGACAAAATACACAAAAACACAAACATAACCAAGCAAAAGTATCCAAAAAGGGGTCAGGCAAAAGGCAGGTCAAAACACACAGCAGAAAGGTCAGAATAGGAACAGACAGTCAGAAATAAACGCTCAGTAGCTCTGTGAGAAGAAGCAATACCTCGCAAAGAGACTAACTACAAGCCTGGGCTTTAAGCTGAACTAATCAGGGAAGAACAGGTGAAAACAATCAGTACTCTGGGGAACTGGAGCGCTGGTTGGAGCGCAAGAGTGAGGCTGGCGTCACGTGATCTCCCAGAGGATTCTGGGAGATGGAGTCCAAAGAGAGTTCAGAGCCTACAGGAGTCGTGACACTTTTGATGATATTATGTACTATACATAGTGGGATATCCAAAGTCTATGCAATTTTACATTGAGGAACATATTTCTGAAATTGTTTCATAATTTTTAGATGCAGTTTTTTTTGGATTGGTGAACGTTTGCCCATCTTTGCTTCTGAGAGACTCTCTAAAATGCTCTTTTTATACCCCGTCATATGAGTTAGTCCAGAGGACACATTGTCCATCAATTCCAAAAAAATTTCAAATGTTGATTCGTTGGACCACAGGACACTTTTCTACTTCCCCTCAGTCCATTTTAAATGAGCTTGGGCCCAGAGAAGGTGGCGGTGTTTCTAGATTTTGTTTATGTACAGTTTGTTCTTTGCTTTTTAGAGTTTTAACTTGCATTTGTGAATGAACTGTGTTCACAGACAGTGTTTTTCAGAAGTGTTTCTAAGTCCATGCAGTGATTTCCACTATAGAATCATGTCTGTTTTTAATGCAGTGCTGCCTGACAGCCCAAAGATCACGGCCAGCAAAAACTGGTTTTTGGCCTTGTCCCTTACATACAGAGATTTCTCCAGATTCTCTGAATCTTTTAAAGATATTATGCACTGTAGATGATGAAAAGCAAAAGTTCTTTGCTATTTTATGTTGAGAAACGTTATTCTTTAATTGTTGCACTGTTTGATCATGCAGCCTTTCACAGAGTGGTGAATCTCTCCCCCTCTTTACTTCTGAAAGACTCCACCTCTCTGAGATGCTCTTTTATACCCAGTCATGTTACTGATCAATCAACCACTAGGTGTTTTTTAGCATTACACAACTTAACCATGTTGCTGGCATCAAATTCAAAATAGGCATATATTTTTCAAAAAACAATAAAATTTGTCAGTTTCAACATTTGCAATTACATTTCTGTTGCACCTGGTGAGCTGTTGATCTATTGGTTACTGCTTATCCAGTATAATGAGCTTTTATAAAACCTTCTAATATGTAAATATTTTAACTTAATGCTTCTAAACTGTGGAATTCTCTCCTGCAAGACATTCCTCAGATATCCTTAGTTAAAAATGAAGCTCAGAATGGCTTTTTCTGCATTAAAATTCCTTGTTTTACTCACAATTTGTTTCTTCCTTGTATAAGTGTTTTACTTTCTTTATTATTCTCTATTGTTCTTTTATGGTAATTTTTATTTTTATTGTCTCCTGTTAGAAAAGCACAGAGAAGGTGAAAGCAGACAGTGTGGAGGTCTTCAGAGCTCTGCTGCGCTGCATTGAGAGAAGCCAGGCGGAGCTGCTTGAGGTGATGGAGGAGAAGCAGAAAGCAGCAGAGAGGCAGGCTGAAGAGTTCATTAAAGAGCTGGAGCAGGAAATCACTGAGCTAAAGAGGAGAGACACTGAGCTGGAGCAGCTCTCCCACACTGAGGACCACCTCCACCTCCTACAGGTCAGAGTCCCTCTGTTTCTCAATAGTAATGCAGTCCATCACAGGACAGCACTCCCCATGCTGAGGGGTTTCTCCTCTCTCCTGCTGGACTGTAGGTTTACCCGTCCCTCTGCAGCCCTCCACACACCAAGAACTGGACTGACGTCAGGATTAACACTCATCTGAGGGTGGAGACTCTGAGGAGAGCTCTGTCTCAGCTTCAGGAAGAGCTCAGTAAGGAGATGGAGAAGCTTGATGAGATCGGTAAGTATTTACTGGTCAGTAAGACGTTTAGATGTTCAGCAGAAATGAGAATTCAGGAAGTCGTTAAGATCCTGATACCAAATATGAATGTTTAGTAAATGAGGCATTTAGATATTTAATCATGATTTTTTTAAATCTATTAATACGCCCATCCATGTTTATTACTACACTGTGTCATTTGGTCTTAATATTAAAATTCTGGTTTGTTTTTCATACTTATCAGTATTTAATTAAGTACAGTTTACAATATAATAACAAACACTATTGTCGATTATTCTTTTCCAAACAGACCTGAAGAGAACTGAACAATATGCAGGTGAGTGAGCTCTCACTGATCACATAGTGCAGTCATATGCACGTTTTTATTAAATTACTGTTTTGTTGATTTTCTAAGTGAAAATAAATCAACACGTCCTCCACAGAGAACAAAGTTAATATGGCATTTTTCTGATAATTTTAGTGTGTGTTGTCTGTTCTTTGTTGAGTTTTGGGAAAAAAAATAATATACAATATAAAAATGTTCCATAACTGTTACTCAGGCCACGTTTTATTTTTTTACTTTTTTTAATTTGTGTTCTCTGCAGAGAACGTGTTAAATTATTTTCACTTAGAAAATCAACAAAACATGAAATTTGACAAGGGGTGCCCAAACTTTTGCATATGTATATATGAGTAAACATTTATGTATCTGTTCCATTAATGTTGTGAGTTGATAAACTGGTTTTAAACTGTGTGTTTCTCTCTCAGTGGATGTGACTCTGGATCCTGATTCAGCAAATCCCTTCCTCATCCTGTCTGATGATGGGAAACAGGTCACATGTGGAGACACAGAACAGAATCTCCCTAAAAACCCAGAGAGGTTTGATTATTGTGTCTGTGTTCTGGGAAAGGAGGGGTTCTCCTCAGGGAGATTTTACTATGAGGTTCAGGTCAAAGGAAAGACTGACTGGACATTAGGAGTGACCACAGAGTCCAGTAACAGGAAGGGAGAGATTACACTGAGTCCTGAGGATGGATACTGGACTATATGGCTGAGAAATGAGACTGAATATACAGCAGCAGAATCTCCCTATGTCCGCCTCTCCTTGAAACAGGCTCCCCAGAAGGTGGGGGTGTTTGTGGATTATGAGGAGGGTCTGATCTCCTTCTATGATGTTGAGGTCAGATCTCATATCTACTCTTTCACTGGTCAGTCTTTCACTGAGAAACTCTATCCATATTTCAACCCCTCTGACAATGATGGAGATAAAAACTCAGCACCACTGATCATCACACCTGTTAAACATCATAAATGAGGTGATTTTCTCTAATAAAACCTTTTTTATGTCACAAAATAATTTCAAACTGCGTAACAACATAGTTTTGAAAATACTTTACACAGTGAACGAGTAAATAAATGATCAAAGTAACAGATTATTACATAAATAGATGGAACACACTTTCACTAAGCTTGGACAAGGGTGTTGTAAGTCAGTAATACATTGTTATAATAGTGCTTATTACACATTTTAATTAAACACTGATGACATTAAAGTGCACAATGTCAGTTTGACTGATGAATGACGCTGGAATCAGTAGATGTTAGATGTTAAGGCTGTAGTAACTCAGTGTTTAGTGGGTCTGTAAGCAAGAAATGTCTAATTAAAAAGTTCAGTGGAAAAACTGTACAGCAGAGAAAACAAACCAATGATTCTCATCCAAATACAGCTTCACTTCTCACTCAAAGCCCAGAAACCAAACTGATGATCTCTTATTTTGGACATAATATTTATTTTGGAGAAGAAAGAGTTCATTGGAAAGGATGAATATGCTGGAAACAGATGAAGATGATGGAGGGGAGAGAACTGTGAGCGACGAGATGGATAGAGATAATTATAACGCATGAAGACCAAAACAGAAGAGACACTGGAGAAACACCATCCATACGATCACCAGGAGTCAGAATCAACATGACTGCACTCAATAATAATAATAATAATAATAATAATAATAATACTGTATTTGTGTTTTTAAAGTTGTTCAGGCTGAAGTGTCACTGATCTTTACAGATCATAGATCATCTCTTCATCAACCACCTGAAAGAGAGAACATCTGTACAGCTGTGTTGAATTATTTATGTCTTAAGGAATAAAACAGTTTGTGTTTATGAGAGAATGAAAGTTTGTACAGCAGGTTTAACTGAACTCAGCTCTGTGTTTAAATGATTAAACACTGATAGACTTTTCTTGTGTGAGTCTGTAAAGAAGTGAACAGCTGAATAGAGGAGCTGCTGCTTTTAGCTCAGTAATATTTTAATAGATTTAGTTTAATGTTGTTTGTCTCTAAATGGGAGCTAAAAGAAAAGCTCACAGTGTTTGTACAGAGCTACGTACCTTTATTCATACACATCAGAGCCTCACAGGACTGAATAGAGCTGTTAGAGCTGAGCAGATGGTGAATGAAGCAGTCTGGAATAATCCTGTTCAGCATGTAGAGCTGAGTAGAGCTGTAAAGACACATTAACACAATCTGACTGAGTGAGAACTGTAGACAAGCACATTATAGTGTTATGAAGAGCTAGAAAACTTTTCTTTTATATATTTAGCTTCACTCAGAACAGAATCAGGGGGCAGAACCAAAACCTGTATTTGGAATTTTCTTTTTCTCAAAAAATATTGAAGAAAAGATGAAGATAAACTGAACATGCAGCTTCAAAACTGCAGCATCTTCTTCAAAGTGTTTATTTCAGTGAAAACAGTTAAATTGCTCGTTTCCACATGAAGTAAGTTTGTAGGTTGAACTGATGAGCCGTTCGTTTACAGTGAGACTCTTCAAAACTGTAAATAAAATATCTTCTTATAAAAGAGCTGAAGGACGCACTAATAAAGGTTTCTCAGTATTTTACTGAAACCTCTTACTATTAACTTTCAGTCCATTTTAGATCAAAATAAGATCCTCAGACCACCAACATAACTTTAATAGCCTTTAATGGGGTCATCAGTCATGTTTTATTCCAGCTGACCAGCAGCACAACTAACTACACAACTGTTTGATGTGTTGAGCAAAAGCTGCATATTGAGATGCTGTAATTGAGTTGGTGAATATCTGCCACCTGCTGGCCAAAACCTGCAAGTACAATACACAATAACCATGCATACATGGGAGTGGCCTCATGACGTCACTCAGGAGAAACGAAACTCATGCAGGGCTGCTTCATAAACTGAATTCAGTTCTTCCAGCAGGACACAGTTTCCAGTTTGAAGGTTCTCCAGTCAGTTAAACTCTACAGATCAACTCTGAAGAAGCAGAAAAGCAGACCAAAGGAGAGAAAGTGAAAGTGGTAATGAGTCTAAGTTTCTTACTGTCTGTTACTGAAAACACATCCAGATGTTCAGATTGTTTCTGTTCATTGTTCTTGTTGTGTCAGTTAATTTCCTTACATTTTTAAACTGATCTGTTATTTGTATTTAACATTTGAACCAGTGATGGTTTGTTTCTACAGAGTTGGTGTTTAAGAGAGAATGTGAATCTGATCAGTCAGATGAATGTGATTGATTGAAAATGAATACACTGACTTTGAATGGCTTTTTTGTTCACGTTATTTTTGTTTTGGCTAAAAATTGTCATGAAGAAAATAGGACGTTTTTTTGGTCTCAAATCTCCCTCATGGTG